TATATATATATATAAATATACATATACATATACATATACATATACATGTACATATATGAAGTCTGACCTGGTCTTAACTTACTCACTCGTTCTCCATGTGCAGGGACATGATGAAACGGGACTTCATAGCTCTCATGCCGCAAGAGCTGGCTTTGTATCTTCTCTCCTTCTTGGACACAAAAAGGTATGTTTAAATAAAGATAAGATTTTTCGTGTCATGGGTATGTATTTTATTGTTTCAACTGGCTATGTGGGGTTCAGGGTATATCCGGAACTCAGCGTCAAGTGCTATCTAAAGAGTTGGACTACGAACTGTTAGATTATTTATAGGTCAGTTCATCTGCACATCCATTCAGTGATACGTTCATGTCTCGATAGCGAACCGGATCTATTCTCGACGAGAAAACAAACGTCACATGATCATTCATTGAGCGGTGTTCATATGTCCCAAGGAAAACTCAGGTATATTCCCCTCGAGATTATTTTATAAACGTACTTCCGCATGAGAACACAAACAACCTGTTGTGGTGGATACCGAGCCTATATTAGCAGAGCGTAGGACGTCTGTTCGCATAAGTGGTGGTTTTAAGTATATGCGTGGCCACAGGATTGGTACATTTCCCACACACACAGAGTGACTGTATATATTGCACACAGTATGTGTCATAGCATAACAAGGACTATTAGTTAATGACGAAACTCGGAACCATTTCAATAGTATGGAGGTAAATTAATTAACAATTTAATCTAACTGTATAACAAATAAAGCCAAACACTTGACGAACAAAGTCTATTGTATTACGTACCAAGCCAGTTGCATAACAAATAGAGCCAATTGCATAGCAATCAAAGCCTATTGCATTACGTACAATGCCAATTCCATAACAAAAGCCAATTGCATATAAAATAAATTCTATTGCATTACATACAAAGCCAATTATAAAGTAAATAGAGCCAATTGTATAAAAGACAAAGTTTATTGCGCTACGTACATAGGCATTTTAATAACAAATAAAACCAACTGCATAAAAAACAAAGTCTGTTGAGGGCCAATTGCATAGCAAAGAAAGTCTATTGCATCATGTACACAGCCAATACCAGAACATATGCGGCCAATTGAATAACAAACGAAGACTATTGTATTACTTTAAGGGTCAATTTCATAACATACGATGCCCAGATGACACATGGCGTGCGCATTCTAGACGCCCAATTAGGGTTTAAAGGTTATGGTTTAGAGTTTACGGTGGTTTGTCAAAGGATGGCGCGTGGTGGTTGCATTCTCGGCGATCACGCATCTACCTGTCCTCATCTGTCAGTCTATCCAACCGCTGCAGTGCCACTTCAAAACCCTAAACTCTACACAAACTGTCTGAACGCGTTGGCGTATTGCGTGATACAGCAGAGTTGTCGGTGGAGGTGCAGCTTCATTATCTAACTATAGTTGGAATAATGGGATCATCGAGAGTACAGACTAGTTTACTACACTCCTGTCTAGCTAGTCATCCGCTTGGGTGCGTATTACCCAAGCTGTGTTGTGTGGGTGTGTATATCTACTATCCTAACAGCCACTTTACCTATTATTAGTCTGTGTTATTCTATCGATTGTCTGCGTGTTATGGTACCTTTACTTTGGTCAACCGACAGTGGTACACGCACATGGTCGCAGCAGCGTGCGCTGTCTCGCTCTCCTCTCCATGATCACTCCATCAAACTTCATGACATACAGACCAATCATTTATCATATAATGCCATTTGTATGACATTCTAAGCCAACAATTCATGACATACAGACCAACCATATACTATATAATGCCAATTGTAGGACTTTCTAAGCCATTGTACAGCATGAAATACCAAACAACCTGTGCATGGTCAATGTGAGGCGTGTGTGGGGTAAATCTGACCTTTTACTAATCGTATGCAGTAGTTATTGGTCTCTCACGCTCGTCGTGATCAATGTGTACGTGTTCAATATACGCGTCTACGTAAACATTTTCCGAATACAGTTGTCTTAGCTCTATACGTTCAGTGTGCAAGTGTTGAATACACACAAAACACATGTTGGTCTCCCACTAATCGCATCTTTTTACTGTGGCTATCTTTAGTCTCTGTCGAGCGTCTCTGGTGAACAAGCACTGGTACAACTTTGCCTCAGACGACGTACTGTGGAAAAGCGCGGTACTGCGACGGGTCAACGCCACCCGTGATCCCGAGGCTGTGTGTAGCGAATTTGACCGGCTCATATACGAGGCTATGAGGTATATATTGTTAGGTGTACTATATATGATGCTATGAGGTATATCTTGATAAGTGGACTATATACGAGGCTATGAGGTATATATTGTTAAGTGTACTATATATGAGGCTATGAGGTATATATTGTTAAGTGTACTATATATGAGGCTATAAGGTATATCTTGATAAGTGGACTATATATGAGGCTGTGAGGTATATATTGTTAAGTGTACTATATAAGTGGACTATATATGAGGCTGTGAGGTATATATTGTTAAGTGTACTATATATGAGGCTCTGAGGTATATCTTGATGAGTGGGCTATATATGAGGCTATGAGGTATATCTTGATAAGTGGACTATATATGAGGCTGTGAGGTATATATTGTTAAGTGTACTATATATGAGGCTATGAGGTATATCTTGATAAGTGGACTATATACGAGGCTATGAGGTATATCTTGATAAGTGGGCTATATATGAGGCTATGGGGTATATCTTGATTAGTGAATAATATATGAGACTATGAGGTGAGAATGTTAAAATTTGCCTATGTGACCTTATATCAAGCATACTAAACCCATGCGATACGTCCTCTTCTTTGCCACACAGTGCTGGTGCTAATTGGAAGCACCTGTACGCACACATCACCGGCATACAGAAGAACTGGCGGTCGGTCACATACAAACGGCGCGAGGTCAAAGGGCACGGCAACCATGTTATAACATACCTGTACTATGACACGGACAAAATAATCTCCGCATCCGATGATCATACAATCAAGGTATGGTGAAGAACGTTTGTATTGTGCAGTTTCACACACACACAGTGTGGTGTGGGTGTGGTGTGTGATGTGGTGTGTGGTGTGTAGTGTGTGTGTGTGTGTGTGTCTCTCTCTCTCTCTGTGTGTGTCTGTGTGTCTCTCTCTTTGTGTGTATGTATGTATGTGTGTATGTATGTATGTATGTATGTTTGTATGTTTGTATGTATGTCTGTATGTCTGTATGTAAGTATACGTGTAT